CTAGACTTACTCAAGGAAACAGGAATGCTTGGGTGTAAACTAGCCTCAACTCCAAAAGATTGGCTCAGAGACAGGTAGAGCACCTGCGGACAGGGGGAGATATCAAAGGCTAGTTGGTCGGCTTATTTATTTATCCCATACTAGACCTGATATTGGTTTCCCTGGAAGTGTGGTGAGCCAATACATGAATAATCCAATTGAGGAACACATGGAAGCTGTTACAAGAATCCTTAGATATCTCAAAATGACTCCAGGAAAAGGTCTTCTTTTTAAGAAGAATGACAATAAAGAAATTAGAGTTTACACGGACGCAGATTGGACATGAGATGTAACTGATAGAAGGAGTACTTCTGGTTACTGTTCTTATGTTTGGAGAAATTTAGTAACATGGAGAAGTAAGAAGCAGTCAGTTGTTTCTAGAAGTCCAGCTGAAGCAGAATTCAGAGCGCTAGCTCTTGGCATATGTGAAGGGATGTGGCTGAAAAGATTACTTGGTGAGCTGGGGGTATTTAAAGAAGGGTCTATACAAATGCTTTGTGACAATTAGGCTGCTATTAGCATTGCCAAAAATCTAGTTCATCACGACAAGACTAAGCATATTGACATAGACAGATGCTTCATTACTGAGAAGATAGAGAACTCCATCATTCAAGCATGTTATATTCCATCAAAATTTCAAACTGGTGACATTCTTACGAAAGCTCTACCAAGAACCGTTTTTGAAGAATTAATTAGAAAGCTTGGGATGTTTGACATTCACAACCCAACTTGAGGGGGCGTGTGGATTTATTTCCTGATTTAGAGAATATTTACTGTTGTACTTTATATCTGATTTGGTATTAATACCAGATCTCCTATATTTTATTCTTTCTAGAAATATGATATTCTATTGTCTAAATTAGCAGATTGTATAGTTAATGTCTTAGATTCTCTCCCCAATAGGTTGTATAAATATCCTGCCATTCTAAGATAATGAGAAAATTGATTTGTTAAATAATTACTCCGAGATCAGACATATAACACAATTTTACATCATTTATAAACACAAGTTAGCAATTTTTTTTATCATCAAAGAGCGGCCATTATATTAAAATCAAGAACACATACAAGACAATCTTCAAACAAGATCTACAGATCTAACCGTGAACCCTAGGAGTAGACTTAGAGTCAGCCACCTCATACAAAGCAACATGACTCGCTAAACCTGAAACGGGCAAATTTAGGCCTAAAACGATCGGAACCGAAACTCTGCCTATCAAAAGAACTCAAAAAATCCAAACATTCAAACCAAATCTACTCCGACTAAAACAGAAGCAAGTGCTATTAAAGAGAAAATAATACTGAAATAAAATCTTGTCAGAAAGCTCTTTCTGGTATGGAGGTGGTTCCGGAGGAGGACGAACTCTTGCAATATGGGTGAATACCAAATCCACCCGCGGAATGGCCAACCAAGACTTCACGATGCAGTCTCGAACTCTCGATACAACCTCCCAGCCGCACTTCGCTCATCCGCCAACATTATCTTCTCATACGTAGTTGCAATCCCAAGCGTTAGAACAATTAAAATCAGTATAATCTGTCGCTCCAACCCCATATTGATAGGGGCGGCGGAAAATCTCAACCCCTACAAAGAGGGGAGACGGTCGCTAGGGTTCCTCTCTCTAGAGAGAAAGAGAGAAGGGATTGCATTCTTAGTTAGCAAAAAATATTAATACACAGATCTTAATTAGAACACAGATAAATTAATTGAGATTTGATTTAAATTTGATTTAAAAATAAACATAACCACTACTTTTTATGATATATATCGACATGATGGTTATGAACTTATGATTAGAAAATAAATACTAAGTTGGATATACAATAATAACATAGTAAATTGGATATATTAACATTTAGATATGAGGAAGTGGTGCGATTATCAAAAAATGATTTTATGATGTTGATGTTGAAATAATGAAATAAAAATAAAATAAGAATGATCTTAGTGAGCCCGATCAAAAAGAAAAAATGAGATAATTTTAATAGCAGGGAATAATTTCTAACAAAGATTGAAATCTAAAATTACAAATTTTCATTATAAAACGATATCAATAATAAAATTATACATTAGGACTCCGTATTTAGTTCTCTTGGGGATAAGGGAGCATGCTTCGGTTCACTTTGCTTTATTAATAAAGTGTTCCTTTATAGCGTTTTTTGGCTGCCCAAATCACCAAATGTACATATGTGTAGTAGTATTTTTTTTCTTAAAATGGGGCCCCTATTAAAGTGGTGCCCTAGGCACTTGCCTAGGTGCCTTGGTGCTATAGCCGGTTCTGGTGGCGGGAGCAAGAAATTTTTCGAAGGGGGGCGTACTAAAGGCTAATAATTATTATGTATTTGCTCAAAATACAATAAAATAATAAAAGCGTAATACGTTAGCACAAATTAGTTCATTACACACTGCTTGACTTATATCTATAATCTGGGTAGATCAATCATACAAGTTTTAATTTGTTCAAAATGTTGTATAATAACTTCATGTTGGGGAAACACGACCCCTAGTCTTTTTGAGGATCGCGAGCTCAATCATAATGACTTGTACACTTATATATCCACACACTTATAATACAAAGACTCAATCTGACAATATCACTTTGTACTACCCTCACTCACTCTTTGTATCTGAGATTACTTCACTCTACCTAACTCGATCACGTGCACTTCATCATGCGATATCTTTGAGCATTATTTTCTCACAAAAAGCTCTCACTCTCCTCTCTCAAGGAGACTCTCACTTTCACTCACTCAAGAGCTCTCTTCAAGGTTAACATACAAATGGGAAACTACTCTATAGTAATATCATCAAAGTTGCTATAAAAATTTTCATACACCACTACACATCTAGATTCTTCCAAAAAATATCACAAGCTTCTCTAAATATCACGAACACCTCCTTGGTAGATAAAAATTATAATTCTGAAATCAATTCTTTATTTCGATAAGATTCATGTGGTTAAAGTTGTTCTAAAAATCGGCCTAGGCGGACTGATTAATCGGCCTAGGCGGCCTAGGCGGCCCTAACCGTAGAGGCCGAATCGGCCTAGTCGGCCAAAAAATCGGCCTAGTCGGCCGCCTAGGCGCTAGGCGCCCCTCAACCGCCCGACTAGCGCCTAGCGAGTTTTAGAACAATGGGTTAAACAATGTAAAAGTTATTTAAAAGAATTGTTAAATGTTTACCTTTTAAACTCTGTATCTTCAAGTAAAATGTTATATATCTTTTTTATTTTCAAGTTTTTTCCTTTGATTTGTCATTTTTTACGCTTTAATGTATCAATACTTTTTTTTAAGCATTTCAATTATAAAATCAAAATTATTTAACTATTGTCTAAACTTAGAATGTAATAGACTTAAATGTCAAATACTTCATGAGGAGTATTTTTTTGACCCACTCTCACCCCGCCCATCTGGTTGGCCTTTCAGCCTAAAAAAATGGATATTTTTTTGAATAAAACTAGCCACAAAAATGTTCATTTCATTTCATGCCGTTTGAGGGCTTGTTTGCAATCACTTAAGAAAAGTGATTTTGGTTTTTTTAAGAAAAAAGAACTTATTTTACTAAACACTATCAATTTTTACTTTCTCGGTTTTTGTGTAGAATCTACTTTTTACTTTTTCTATTACACGAAAAACATTTATTTTACCAAACACTACCAACTTTTACTACTAATCACTTCTTCCCAAAAAATATTTTTATTTAAGCAGGTGGTTGCAAACAAAGCGTCAGTCAGCCTGGTAGAGCTCCCCAGTTACGCTCCTGCTACAGTAGGTATGGTGTGGATAAACTTGGAGCCTTGGAGGTGAGGCAAAATTGAAACTTACGGAATAAGCAAGTATAAATGCCTTTACATGTAAATACTAAAAAGAATAATTGAGTGTTTTTCCTCTTTTCAATTAATAACTTGAGAAAATTGCTCCGTGTAGGATCAATTCATACGGATTTTACAAAAATAAGACATATAATTGTTTCTTCAGTACGTGTGACTTATTCAGTAGTATTTGGGGAAACTTGATTTTAAATTTCCATTTTTACCCCTTCAGCTATTTATTAGATCTCCCCCAAATTAAAACGACGCAAGGCTAACGATCGGAAGATTTACGCTCGAGCCTTCTTCCTTCAACATTCTCGTGGAATGTTTTCATGGTTCCACGCTCGACACCTGCATATGAATTCGGAGTGTACTGCTTGGGAATCAACAAATTCAGCTCTATCGAGACTCCAATTTCCAGAATCCAAATAGAAGCATTCTAGGGAACCATTAATGGTTGTTGACAATTTTACAGAGTGCTAGATTACCTATATTGCTTCATTGTGGAGTTTTCAACAACCTCTCGATGTGGATCAATCATTAGATATAGTGAATTGTACATATATATTGTTTCACGTTACTTGCTGTGCTGTTGAGCTATTATCAGAATTTATTGTCTGTTTAATGACTACTTACTGTCTATATATTGCGTGTCATTGAGCTATTATTAGAACTTATTGTCTGGTTACTGACTACTTAATGTCTAAGTATTGTCTAGTGTTTTCAAGTTTGATTTTGGATCTGGTTTCTTCAAAAGTTTTGCAGAGTAGGAAGAAATCAATGTCCAAAATCAGAAAAGAAGGAGAAGGAGAAGGAGAAGGAGAAGGAGAAGGAGAAGAAGAAGAGCAAACCTTCGGCGGTGGGATGAAGTCCATCGGAGCAGTGTGAATTTGAAAACGATAGATCTGGTGCGTCGGTGACGGTGAAGTCGATTTGGAAGCTGGTTCGCTGCGGCCGCCTCAACCTCGTTTTCCACTCCCCAGTTCGCTCTCACCATTATCGGCGGCGGCGGCACTAGTTTCGAGGACGAACCACCACTTCTGGAGGAGCTGGGGATCAACTCCAAGCAAATTTGCAGATCCGCGTCAAAGCATTTCTTCACGAGGATGCCGATCTGTCTGGGCCATTCCTGTGTCTTGCGATCTTTTATTTTGGTTTGCTAATTGAATTTAAAGTAAGGGTATAAAGGTCAAAAGAAGTGCACTTAAGTCTTAAACTAATCTATAATCTTAATTTTGAAAAACTAGTATGATTTGGTTCTACTTGTTGAAATCTCCCTAATAACTTGGATATGTGCATTGATATTTAGGCTTCCTCAGCATACTGGAGAGGAGATAAAGAGCGTGAAAACTTTGCAAAGGGTCTGTGGAGTATCTAGCCCCTACCAAAAACGCCTAAAGGTGAAACTCACTCTTTCTTGCTCATTAAACACTTTTCGATATTGGAAACTGCTTGCTATTTTGAGTTTTAGGTATTACCCAAGGTCCCAAGTAGTTAAATTGGTACTCCCTAGCTGCTTGATCAAAGTTCGAGTTGCTATTAGGATTGATTGCTCCGGGTTATAAAGTGAAAAACCAATCATTCTACGATAACTAGCATAATTCATAAAGCATTTAAAGAAGATCCTATAATCTAATCAATCCTAACTTCATATATCCTCAATCAATCATTATTTGGTTCAAGATTGGCATTATCTTCATCTTCTACCGAGTACCCTAGTATTGGGCTTAGCCCATTAGTTTGGGCAGGAGCAAAAGTTGGGGTGGGTTGGTAAAAATAATTTTTTCAGATATTTTTTACATTAAAATTTTTGCACTAAAATTACAAGTAATTTTCAAATTTAGGATGGGCCGGATTTTTGTTGTTTACTCTCTCTAGGGTGGGTTTCCACCGCTAGGTTTTTTTCCTCCGATATCGTTTGTAACGAGGAACAGCCGCCGCAGGCGGGTTTAGGCGTACATGGTTTCTTCAGATTTTTCTTTGATTAAAACACCCAGGTGTACAAACCATCTCTTTCCTTTTATACTAAGTACTCTAGATGCACCCCAAATATCACTATGCATAAGAGCAAAAGGACTAGTAGGTTTGTAACTTTGAGGGATATAAGAGTTTCAATGATGTTTTGCAAGTGCACACATATCACAATGAAACAATGAAACATCTTTATTATTAAATAACTGTGGAAACACCTTTTTAAATAATAAAAACTAGGATGTCCTAGTATATTGTGAAGTAAATACAACTCTTCATTATTGGAAAAAGAAACAGTTTGCAAACAAGCATTTCTTTGACCTCTTTTATTTGGTTGAGTCCCTTCATCAAAGATATAGAGTCCATCTTCCTCCATAGCATTGCCAATCATCTTCCCTGATGCCATATCTTGAAAAATGCAATAAGATGGGTAAAAAATAACACCACATTGATGGTCTTTGGTTAACTGACTGACGGAAACGAGGTTACAGGACAGATTTGGGACATGTAGGACTTTAGATAGATTGATAGATGAGGAAACTTTAACATTTCCTATCTCTGCAATGGCTGATAGAGAGCCATCTGTAATTTTGGCTTTTTTGTCCCTTGCATAGGGTTTATATGAAAAGAAAAGATCTGAAATAGAGGTCATGTGGTCTATAGCACCTGAGTCGATGACCCAGGTATTTTTCTATCTTCCATAACAAAAAAATGATGGAGTGGTACCATTTTGGGCATAAGAACAAGAAGAAAGTTCTGGATTGGATTTTTTTTGAGTAGTTCCAAGGTTAAGAAGTTGCTCTATCTGTTCCTTTGTGAAGGAAGGCTGCTTGAAATTGACTTACTGCTCTTGTTGAGTCTCAGTCACACTAGTATGAAAAGTCTTCTCAAACTTTTTCTTTCCTGCTCCTCCTGGGTGCTTCCCATGAACTTTCCAGCGGGTTTCCCTTGTATGCCATAGTTTCTTGCAATGATCACACCACAGTTTTTTTCTTTTTATCACCTCTAACCACCATTGCTGAAGAGTCTCCAGGTTCATCATTATGTACTGATTCGTTGTACATAATCTTCCTCCTGCTTCCTTCCAGTCTAATTTCAGAGAATACCTCTCTGATTGAGGGTAGAGGCTTCTTTCCCAGAATCCTTCCTTTCACTTCATCCAGGCCTTGATTAACTCCTGCAACTCGGGCTGCAAGAAACGTGTAGACTTTGTCATTCTCTTCTCTCTTCTTGTGCTTGGCCAGATCCTTTGCACTTTCCCATTCGTCATCATAATATTGATCCAATTCCTGTCATAGAGACACCATCTCATTATAATAAGTGGTGACATCTCTATCTCCTTGTTTGGACTGCGAGAGAATGGTTTTCAATTCAAAGATTTGAGAAGAGTTTTCAAGGTCTGAATATGTTTCTCTAATGGAATCCCACGCCTCTTTTGCCGTTTTCATAAACATGTGGGTTTGGCGATTGATGCCTCCATGGAGCTGAGAAGCCAGGCTGTCACCTGTGAGTTTTCTGACCTCTATGAATTGTAGCCATCCTCACCGGGGAGTTTTTCTTTGATTTCTCCCGTTAGGTAGCCCAGTTTTCCCCTTCCATCAATTGCGAGCTTGACAGACTGACAATTCTAAATAAATTTTCCATTCAATCTATGACCAGTGATAAACATAGATGAATGCATAGAAGACTGGTAATTTGTCATAGGGCTAATTTGGGAGTTAGGGTTACTGGTTTGAGATTGTTCAGAATCAAGGGTTTCCACCATTGTGATGTTAAACCGAGAGCTCTGATACCATGTAAGTTTTGGGAATAAATTTCCTTGATTCATTGAGCCATACGGTCAGAATATATATACAATGTAAAAGTAACAAACTCCCTGTGGAGATCCTAAAAATTAGGATCTAGCTAACTACAAAGCTTATCTAATAATTAATTAAAGCAACAACCTCTAAGACTTATCTACACGACTTACATATGTACTAAGTCTAATAAATAACAATTAATGTAACATTTTCTACACTATCAAATCTGAAATTTAATGCCACTTGTGGCTGTATACTGCCATGTTTAAAGTCTTGTAATGCCAAAACATGGCAGTAAGTTTTGAGAATGACCCCAACGTACTCCTATTTATTTAGGGAAAAAAAATAGCACTCCTAGTTTGGAATTTCCAAACATTTTTACTTCTATTTCGTGAATTTTCCCATAAATATATTATGACCTTAGCATTCTTAAGGGATTAAAAGTACGGAAAAGTGCATTCTGTGAATTACATTTACCTGGGTAACCTCTCTAGCAGGAATACCTACCTTGCAATGCTGGAAGAATCAAAAGAATGTGATCACATGGAACTGACCAAGAGGCAGGATCTATTCTTCTTTCATCCTTTAAGGTTTGTATCCAAGAACATGAATTGTTATTGTCAAGCTTGATGTTCAAGAATCAGCATGATGTTCATGTTTAATTTTTTACATTTAGCCCTGGAAGTTGTTTCTTTCTTCCTCATGGTGCTAGAGTGTGCCACAAACTGTTGGAGTTTATGCGCAGTCAATACTGGAAGCGAGGTTATGAAGAGGTATTTTGTTCTTCTAATTTTAGTTTTCATGCAAAGGTGCCACCTACCACTTTGTCGTAGTGTGGATATGCCAATATTTGTGCGGGCAATTATTTATCAATGCATGAACTAAATGTCTATCCTCCTTCATCACATGTGTTCATGAATCATGATTTTATCCTCTTTTTGACAGGTTTGGAGCCCAAACATATATAATATGCAGCTGTGGGAAACTTCTTCTCCTGTTACAAACTATAAGGAGAATATGTTTGTATTTGAGGTAAGGCATTGTTCTGTCTCCTCGGAGATCTGCACTTACTTCGTCATTACAGTGTAGTTTATAAATAGTGCATTTTCTTATTCCTCTGAATATGAAAGCAGTGATGCTTAATTTGTTGATAACAATACTCCTACTGTGTGAGGCACATGCAGCTAGCCCAAAAGTTTAATACAATAAAGCTATTGGAGATCGATGAACAAATATTTGGTTCATTTTTCTTTTTGTAGTGACTTTCTAGTGTTTGTATTTGTGCAGATTGATAAACAAGAATTTGGTCTCAAGCCAATAAATTGCCCTGGCCATTGCTTAATCTTTGACCATAGAGTTCGCTCGTACAGAGGTACAATTAGTTTATATCTTATAGATTTATAAAACATCCTTCATTGGATTTTCAGTGTCATGTTTATGTACGTGATGAAAAATTCACCTATAATTCAACCATGCAGAATTGCCACTTAGGCTTGCAGACTTTGGAGTTCTTCATAGAAATGAGGCCAGTGGTGCACTTACAGGATTAACATGTGTCAGAAGATTTCAGCAGGTACTCTTAAATGTTTCATTACTCAGAGACTTTTAAGTGTTTTTTATTTCACCAGTAACAGTTTGTTTAATCCCGATCTTGACTGACTTTTTAGGTTGAAAGCAATATGAAATAGTGGTTCATATTTAAGTTTTTTTCCTTCTTTTCTCTTTGGCTTTTATGGCTCTATTCGCTTTCATGCTATTGCTGTTATATTCTAACCCATACGCCATACCACTTCTGTAGGATGATGCTCACATATTCTGTAGGGAGTCACAGGTGAGTTAGGCAAGAAGATTTGGCTTCGAGTTTTTGAAATTACAGAACTACTTTAACCTATTCTGCTATTACAGGTCAAGGATGAAGTCAGAGGTGGATTAGAATTCATGGATAATGTCTACAAGACATTTGGGTTCACCTATCAGCTGAAGCTATCTACAGTATGTTTTTTCACTTCTTACAATTTATGAATTTTGATCACTTATACACCTTGAAGAATCCAACCCCTAATTTTAATTGCAGAGACCGGAAGAATATCATGGAGAAGTGGCAACTTGGGAAAAAGCAGAAGCTGCTCTTTCAGATGCGCTCAATGAATTTGGGAAACCATGGGAGGTTCGTCGCTAAAATCTTGACATCTTGTCCTATGCTTCTATGCTCGGTGCACTTTATTCTAGCCTAATTAATGCATTAGTATTTTGTGTTCCACCAACAACATCCTTTGTAGAGTGCAATTGTGCTCAACTCTAGTTAATAGTTTTTGAGTTATTGTTTAAGAAGACGCTCTTGAAATGAGTAGTGCAATTGTCATCTACATTTGCCACCTCTAAATTACTTAACATGAAATAAACTTTTTGAGTTACTTAGCATTAGCATTTTTCTGTAGTAAGCTTTAGTTCATTCACACTTGTCATTGGTGAAGCAACTCTTTTAAGCGCATAGCGCAAGCAAGGAACGAAGCTAGTTACATTTCAACACTAAAGGTTGATTTTGACTCAATGTGGTCAACTTGATTCAAGGATTAATGTATGTTGTTGCAACACTGCATGTAAGACTCTTCTACTTATCCTTTCTCTATGTTGTGTGGGCTAGAATAAAGGTCTACATCAGTCAACAGAACTAGCTGCTGCTGACATACTCAGGCGTTTTCCAAGTCTCCAACTGACTCCCACTCAATCCATCATCCTCCAATTGTAATCCTTTTTTGCAGGCTATCTTTTTCATCAATTACCACTGAGTTTTGGTATATTTATTCTTCTACCTCTTGGTTCTTCCTCTTCTACTCATGTGCTGATTTTTTGTAGTTGAGGCTCATGTTTTTCTTTGTTGTTTATAATTCCTCTCCTCTGGGTCATTTTGTTGCTGTGATTTATCATCTCATATGGGTGACTTTTTCTTTCTTGTTGACAGTGGGTGCTTTTCGTCTTCCTTGACCTCTTACCTCGGTCAAATTTGTGCCAGTGGGTTATAATGTTTTTCTTCTCATAGAATTTACGAATGGATTGGGTTGATGTACAACTTTCTCGTGTGAGTGATGATTTTCAAGGCGAAAAGTGTACAAAATCAACATCATAAAGTGTCATTTCAAAGGACAAAGCAAAGTGTCACTTTGATAAACTAAGCAATGTGAAATGGCCAGAATAGTAGAATTACAATCCTAGATCCAAAATGAAAATAGTGTCTTTAAAGCAGGTACATAAGGAAAAGGCATATGAGCCCATTTTGTAGTCACTGTAGTTACATCAGAAACAAGTCTTGAGGCAGAAACCTCAGCCCTAATAGGCTCAAGTCTTAGGTTCTCGCAATGAGGCTTAAGCTTTGATGTGTGCACATCTAGTCATTTACACAACATTATTCTTAATGTAGTAAAGTGATATTCCCTCCAACCAAGCATTCCAGCTCAGCTGGTTGTGAGGTTATTGTACCTAGTGGGAGGTCTCGAGTTCGAAACCCGCTAGGCACATAAGGGTTCGAAACTCAATGGAGTGAGTTTCCAGCCCTGATTACTCCAACCCCCAGCCCCCGTCCCCCAGACCCCCATGGAGTAAAAAAAAGTGATATTCCCTCCGTCTCTTATAACTTTTCCAAGTTTCACCGGCATGGAGAATAATAAAGTAAAAACTGTGTGTTTGAGGTTTGTGTAGAGAAGAAAAAAATAACAAGGCAACAAAATAATTGATCACAAGGGAAAGTGACAACGGGCAAACTTTTCGAGACAAAAAAAGGAAAGATGACAAATTTATTAAGAACAGAGGAGGGAGTACTATTTTCATCCCTCCTATATCTTATATATCCTAATTGCCACTCACATTAAGCTTTGGTGTTTTCAGATTAATGAGGGCGGTGGAGCATTTTGTGGGCCAAAAATTGATATAAGTGTCTCTGACGCAATGAAAAGGAATTTCCCATGTGCAACACTACAGGTTTTCATGCTTCAGCTTCTATTGGTTGCGACCTCTTTAGGGATTCTTATTAAACATCACACTTGTTATTAAACATACGTAGTATATTAGTATCCTTTTACGAGTATTATTTTTAAAGATATTAATATGTATCTATAATGTTATTTTTTTATGTGTTTCAGCTGGACTTTCAACTTCCTGAGTGCTTCAAGTTATCTTATTCAGCAGAAGAGGAGAGTAAGAGGGAGGTACCAGTTATGATACATAGAGCTATCCTTGGTTCTGTGGAGCGCATGTTTGCTATACTCTTGGAGCACTTCAAGGGGAAATGGCCTTTCTGGCTAAGTCCACGCCAAGCATTGGTTTGTCCTCTATCAGACAAATCTCAATCATATGGAATAAAGGTTGGTATACAACAGTCGCTTTACCAATTTGTTACTTGACATACATGTAATTTGTTTATATAGTATTTATTTTATTGTATTGTATGGTGATCGGTAAGTTTGTTGTTTCTCGTATGCTGTTCTCCCTTTTGTGAATGAAGTCTTTATGATGTTTATGTGTATCTTATTAGTTATAATATGTTTGATCAGCTGCGTGATCGGATTCATGGTGCGGGGTTTCATGTTGATGTTGATACATCGGACAAGACTGTCCAGGAAAAAGTAAGCAAAAACCTAATACAGATAATCCTGCACTTGCATTAGTTTTGTCTTCATTTGGTGGGTTGACATTCTTGATTGTTGTAAGGTACGAGAAGCTCAGATTGCAGAATACAACTTCATATTAGTGGTTGGTGAAAAGGAGGTTACCACCAGAGAGGTATATTTGTATTTTATGCCATCCTGTCTTAATAGCTGTTGTAACTTCTCAAATTGGATCGGATGTTGGGGGAAAGAATTTAGATTGTGCTAATGATAACATTTTGATGCTAACATTTTAATAATAATGCCAATGAAAACATGTTAGACATGTGATGATCTTTTATATTATTAAAAATAGGCATATAGTAAAATAAATAGGCATGTGATATACAATACGTAGTACTATTTATTATCAGTTAAATCCAATGCCATCATTGTTTATTATGATCATGACTAATGTTATTACAGGATAATATTTTTATACATAGTATATTATTTAAAAATATTTTTTGGAGGAAAATTCTACTAAATCATTACAGATAACATCATTGTATTCTTCTTATAATATATTCATAATTGAAATAGACAAGACATATCATAATGCTTACCAAAACAAATATTCTTATCAGACCAAGGTAAAACATAACAAACACTCCGTTGTCCCCTTAATTAAGAAAGTAAAATGGGGTAGTTCAAGTTTCTCTAAGGAAGAAAGAATATCAATCACACAGATCTTTCCTTTAAAGTGTAAGTTTATTTTAGGGCCAGCCCTAACAATGAAAATGAGTAGCTTATATTGAGGATAATGAAATAAAATTGTGGATGTCATTGATGAAAGTCATGTCGAATTTGTTTTCATCTTCGTCATAGTGTTCTTGATGGTATTGCTCTTGCACTTTTAATTTCTGTAAACGTTTTTCTTTGGTATAAAATATATAGGTTAGCGTTCGAGAGAGAGACAATCCCGATCACAAGGTTATGACAGTCGATGAGCTCCTTTCTCACTTCAAGGACTTGGTGGCATCATATCAGTAGTGGTTCTTCATTTTCTCACCGCATTCTTTTCCTACTTCATACCTTGTTTCTTCCTATGAGATATTACATTCTTTGAATATATTTTATCAACTACCGTATGTTTCTGCTCTGTTTATTTCCAGTTTTTGCAACTTTACCCTTTGCAAATTACAAGTAAGTACAATTAATCATACAGATTCTATGCGTGTTGGGCTATGAAGCACGGACACTTCGCCAGGTTACCGTATCGATGTATCGGAAACGTTCCCGTATCCGATACTCTAGGATACCCGTACTGTACGTTCCCTTGCCGTATTTGTAATTTTTAAAAGTTTCCATTTTTTGGTAATTATTTTAAAATTTCGGATACCCGTACCCTGACGGATACACGTATCAACTTAAAAAAAAATCTTCCATTTTTTTTTAAACAAAACACCCAAAATTTACATAATAAAACTCTTAAAAGATGAAAATCTAAAAGTAATTTTTACCTTGCTTTTATGTGGTACACTACTAATGGTCCTATTCCTAATTCACTCATCCTCTTGTCCCTAATTCTAATTATCCCTATAAATTAATAGCACCAATCGGAAATATGTATGAGAACTTGTAAAATAATACATATTGTTTTCTATCTTCATTATTCTAGAACCTTGAGTACTTTCACTTTTAATTTCAAAACTGTTGTTGTTTGAATTACTTTTCATTTTTTATTAATGACTTATTGAACACATTTATATTTCGAGATGCACTAGTCACTAGTGTATGTGAGATAAAATATGTATTTATTTCTAAGTATCTTGAAAATGTAAAATGCTTCAATGCCAGAATGGGTAGACGTCAGAAGATTATATATGTATATTTTTTATTAAAAAAAATGTATTTTGAATATATATAAATACACCCCTATAATTTTTAATATTTAAAAATACACCCCCATAACTTTTAATATTTATAAATATGGCTCCGTATTTGTATCCTACCTTTTTTTTATCGTATCCCTGTTCTCATTTCTGCGTTACCACGTTTCCGAGTACCCGTATAGATGCTACATAGGTGTTGGGTAATCTGGGCACGCTTATGGACTTATGGTCCCAAACTCCCAAAGTGATTCTTGGTTTTGGTTTGAGACTTTGAGTTGTTTTGCCTATTTATTTAAAAAAAAAAACCTGAACTTGATCCAGTACGGTCCTATTTCGGAACACGTCGACACTATTTTTTGGAAGAAATGGGCTTAAATTGATAGCACATCATTTAGATAGTAGGTAATCCAACAAAAAGATTCCTGACAACCGTCGTCCCTTGAACCAGACTCAAAGTTAATCACCTCAGTAATATAACTCGCGGATCCATTCATGGGCACAAATGAGCCGAAGACGGTCATCGCAATCAAATCATCACCCACGTCCAAATCCAAATCCACGGAAATACGACAGAATAAGATAAAAATCCGAAAGAGTAAAACGGAATTAAATATTCAATCCTTCATCTTGAAATATTCCCTTCAAACCTACTGCCACAATTTCCAACTCCCCGGCATCCTCGGCATCCTCTTCAATATTCATCTTTTTGTACTCGTCAACCATCCGCTCCATATAGCCCTTGTCGCCTCCTAACCCTTGCTGCCGAAAATCAAACTGCTCAAACCTCCTCTCAACCCAATCGTATACTGCAGCTACCTTGCTGGCCTCCGCTATCTTCTCCTCCAGCCGAATCTCCCTATCCACGAACGAATTGCTAGAAGGCGGCATCGCTCCTCGCCAAAAGACGACAGCGGACTAAGAAAACTCTAGCGGTAAAACCACATCTTCCAGCCTAACAGTGATAATCCTTAACCTTAGGCATCCACGTGATTTCTCCTTTTCGAAAGAACGGTTAGATCTCCCAGAGAGAAAGACTGGGAAATCTCTTCGCAGGGAAATATACAGGTAATACTGAATCTAGAAAACTAGTCTCGAACACGCCGACACTATTAGTTTGAGTTGTTTGAGACTTTTAGTTTTTATTTTCAAAAATGTTACTGAAATAAAATTTATTTTTAAAAATATGACTAATAATTACTCCGTATTATAGTATAGTGTGATGGTTACTTGAAGATAAAAATTGAACATAAATTTTTATGACTAAGTTACTACTATAGTCAATACACATAGGAGATCACATTTTTGTAAATAACCTTTATTTTAGTCATGAGTATGTAAAAAAATCAGTTTGAAATTGTAAAGAACAACATTTGCCTTGAATTACCCTCTCAAGCCGTCTTACCGGAGTAGTCCGACTTTCGAACTACCCTTTCAAGGCTTGCAACTTGTGTATATCTGGCATTCAAAATTATTATTGTTGTTGTTATTGTTAATTTAAATATTTTAAAGTGTCATTGAATAATCTTTAATCGGATTTTTTTAAAACCCGGTTTTAAATCCAAAGAATCATAAAGATTCTTTGGCGTAGGGGCTTAGTGAACACCCTATCTCTTTATTAATGATATGAAAAGTACATGAGTAAGAGAACTAAACCAAAGCCCGCTCTGCTTAAAATACATATGGATAACTAATAGCTAGGGGTGCGCACGGTTTGGTCCAATATTTTGCCGAACCTGTACCCGTACCGTGACTATTCAAATGGTTTGATTCGGTCTTAGACCTAAACCCGTTCGATACGCTATTTTCAAACGGGACAGTATCATGTCATACCAATACCAAACAATGCCACTTTTTCCAAGTCTTTAGGTGAAAATTAAAGTTTATCCATCCTCCAAAAATTCACACAATTTATCAAATTTCATATTACATAATTAATAAATGGGAAAACTGGCAAATAGGTCCTCGAACTTTCAGAAATGCGAAGACTGGGAAATCTCTTCGCAGGGAAATATACAGGTAATACTGAATCTAGAAAACTAGTCTCGAACACGCCGACACTATTAGTTTGAGTTGTTTGAGACTTTTAGTTTTTATTTTCAAAAATGTTACTGAAATAAAATTTATTTTTAAAAATATGACTAATAATTACTCCGTATTATAGTATAGTGTGATGGTTACTTGAAGATAAAAATTGAACATAAATTTTTATGACTAAGTTACTACTATAGTCAATACACATAGGAGATCACATTTTTGTAAATAACCTTTATTTTAGTCATGAGTATGTAAAAAAATCAGTTTGAAATTGTAAAGAACAACATTTGCCTTGAATTACCCTCTCAAGCCGTCTTACCGGAGTAGTCCGACTTTCGAACTACCCTTTCAAGGCTTGCAACTTGTGTATATCTGGCATTCAAAATTATTATTGTTGTTGTTATTGTTAATTTAAATATTTTAAAGTGTCATTGAATAATCTTTAATCGGATTTTTTTAAAACCCGGTTTTAAATCCAAAGAATCATAAAGATTCTTTGGCGTAGGGGCTTAGTGAACACCCTATCTCTTTATTAATGATATGAAAAGTACATGAGTAAGAGAACTAAACCAAAGCCCGCTCTGCTTAAAATACATATGGATAACTAATAGCTAGGGGTGCGCACGGTTTGGTCCAATATTTTGCCGAACCTGTACCCGTACCGTGACTATTCAAATGGTTTGATTCGGTCTTAGACCTAAACCCGTTCGATACGCTATTTTCAAACGGGACAGTATCATGTCATACCAATACCAAACAATGCCACTTTTTCCAAGTCTTTAAGTGAAAATTAAAGTTTATCCATCCTCCAAAAATTCACACAATTTATCAAATTTCATATTACATAATTAATAAATGGGAAAACTGGCAAATAGGTCCTCGAACTTTCAGAAAAAAGTCAATTAAGTCCTTCTATAGGAGACTCTGTCCGGCCGTCACGATTTGGGGCGGTTCTCGGTGGAATTTTTTGATGAAATTGTTTGAGCATCTTATTCATCAAGTCTAGTTTATTCATACCAAATTTCAGCTAAAAATTCAACTGGGAAAGCTTTCAAATTAATTCGAGAACGCAAAAATGCGCAGTTATCTTCAAGAATTAATTTGAATGTGTTCCCGGTTGAATTTTTAGCTGAAATTTGGTATGAGTAAACTAGACTTGATGAATAAGATGCTAAAAAAATTCATCAAAAAAATCTATCGGGAACCGCCCCAAATTGAGACGGCCGGACAGAACATCCTATAGAAGGACTTAATTGACTTTTTTATGAAAGTTCGAGGACCTATTTGACAGTTTTCCCTTAATAAATTCTAAATAAACTATAGTAGTACAAATTTAAATAATTAAACTATACTTTGATCCGGTTCCAAGCTTCCAATGAACTGGCAAAGGTTGTGAAAGTGTGAAGGCACTAATCAAAGTAACTGTATAAATGTGCAATTAAATAATTAAATCATAGTTCAATCCGATTCGGTCCGGTATCAGTTCTGATTTTATATGAACCGGTCATGGCATTGTCTGGAACCGGTACAGTCCGGTTCGGGACAAAAAATTTGAGATTCGTTTCAAACCCCGTTTTTCGGTCCGGTACCATACTGGTCCGGTTTGGTACCATGTCGGTTCGGTATTTTTGTCCACCCCTACTAATAGCATCAAACTTTAGGATTCCAACAAAATGTTAAAAATGATGATTGTTTACTGTTATGGAAATGCTCTTGTAGGCTAAATACTCGGTAGTTGTGTTTATTTGTGGATGCGTTTGTGCTATAGTCCACTTGTGACCCGATAGTGTCCTGATTTTCTGGATGTGGGGCCAATATTGCCAATCCTGAATTAAAGTACCAGTAATGCCTTCATAAATATTCCTATAATATACTTCAAGAATAGAATTAGTATTTTTATTCTTGATGTTGATAATAGTTTGATAGATAGCATCATAGGCAACGATGGAACTGTTGGTGGTGGTGGGCCGGTGGCATTGAAAGTCATATGGCCTATGTGGTTGCCAAATTCATCCCGAAAGAGCGCCGCGGTCCGTGCCAAATTCACCTTGAGGAGACGGGTGGGAAAGTTAATCTTTTGGTGGAATGGAGGAGTCTTATTCCAACTTTGAGGGCATGGGATATTCAATGTTTTCTTGTGTGGGATAGTGAGAATGTTGAAAGGGGTGTGGGTAGTATGGGAGATGAAAGGCTTGGCAATAGAAATGCCAAAAATATCAGTTTTATAGAATTTATTTATGGCCTCAGGAAGATAGGCCATTTTATTATCATAAATAAATTTGTTTCGTATCTTCCAAAGGTTCCAAAATAACCATATTG